CCACAAACCACCTTTCACTATCCTCAGAGTCCTAGAAAACTGAAAAGGATGCTACCTTTATACAGATGGAACCCATTTTCAGCTGCTTATCACCCTATGAATTGATAATTCTTGTCACCTGCTCATTTACATTACTTTACATTACTGATTAAATCAGTTCCTATCCAAATCTTCTCAAATATTATAATTACTTCTTCTTGACCAGTAAGAGACCTAGCCACCACACAACAGTGGGGAGCCTTTTATTTATTTATTTTTATTTTTTTTTAAGTTGGAAGGAAATGTCCGTTGCAGGCAAGATATGCTGGAGATTGAGGAGTGTCTCTAGTTAACTGATGGTTTATCTGACTAGGTCACCCATGGAGCTGTTCTGAGTTGTGTGTTGCTTGCATGCAACTGCAGCACTACTGCAATTGCAGCACAAACAACAAGAGTTGTGACATTGTTTTATTACTGTTGTATGTAGGAAAGTGTGCTATAATTCAGCATCCCTTGTCTTGGTCATCTCCCGATTCACTTGTAAAGGAATCTGTGTAAAGAGATCCCTAGGTCCTAGAATCATAGTTGCCCTGTGAGAATTACCCTTTCTCACTTACCAGGGCCGAAGTTTCACTTTGACCTATTTTCTTTGTGCATACACATGTTTTCTTTGAACTTTACAAGGAAATAAGGAAAATTTGCACAGTGCGTGTCATTCATCTGTTCAAAATACGTGCTAAGAGGAATATTTTTCTAATGAACTGATAGAATTGCCAGCTGCCCTCCATATATTTATTTTGTATCTAAGTCATTATAGGGAGAAGCATTTACCCTAGGCTTATGCTGGAAACATTTAGATCTTGCTCCTTGCTTTTTTACGCACATGAATACTGTAGGAGCAGTAGATCTGGAAGATTTGTAATTAACAAAAATGTCCTCGAGAGGGAGCCTGAGACTCTCGTATTTGGGTTCTCACCTCTATTTCTTCAATCTTTGTTGATTTTAGAGAATGTACACTTGGCAATAACGTTTATTTTTCCAGAATTTGTTCTTAAGTATAACAAAGATAAAACATGGTCATTTTAGAAGGACATACACATTCAGTATGTCTTTAGCTGAAGCTACTTAACACGACTAACTTTTGTACAAAATTATATCAACATCTAGAGGATCAAAAATTAATAAAAAGTGAAAACACAGTTTACAATGCTGTARGATGCTGTTTTTCTTTTACTAGAAACAATTTTTATAATGGCCTGGCTTGTTTTCATGTTGTTTCCACTTGAAATTTCCCTATCTGATGAGTTTCTGACTTTATAGATAATTTTCCTGAGAAGTGCTATCCACCAAAGATAYTGTGTCAATAATGGATTATAAAAATTAATAAAACCATGATCAGGCAATCAGGCCTTAATGATCGAGCAATTTATGATTTTCAGAATGGCAACCATTTGAATTAGGGCTTTGTTTCTGTCTGCAGTGTACATTTACAATATTATACATTTTATAATTTTCCACATCACACTTTTCTAGAGTATGCTTTTAGGAACTACAAAGGGAATGTCTGAAATACCTTTTAGCGTGTCCAAGGCCTACCTGACACTTAAAGCAGATCTGCTCCAATGCTATATGTTCRGGTAGCTCATGTTTTTTTCCTTAGACAGATGCTAACTCTGTTTCAATCAGTCCTTCGATCTCCTAACACCCGCAAGTATATTGAGTGCCACAAGCAGGTGGCAAAACTGCATCCTGGAGGTGTTTAAACACAGTGTAGAGGGCTTTCTATGTTCAATTTTTGAAGGTTTAACAGGATCATACTGACCAGCAACCATATTCCTGAAATGGAAGGAAAATCTCAGTATTTCTGCTGTTACTCAACCTAAGCAAAACCATACTAAAAGCTTTACTGATCTAGCTTACTCACAATAGGTTATTTGTTTGTTGCTTTTTGTTTCATTTTCTCCTATTATTTGCATCCAATGAAACCCAAATTACAGGAGATGTCAGTAAAAAAACAACTAGGCATCTTCTCTGTCAGTTTTAATTTCTAAAGAATCCTGAAATCTCAATGATTTTAGTAAAATTCCATGGCAAAAAATTYCCAGCAGGACAGATCAAATTTTCAGTCAGTAAGTATCATGGGAAGAACAGGAGGAAGTGATGTAGTATTATGCAAACGTTAGCGCTAACAACCATGTAGTAGCATGTGTCTACTAATTCATTGGGTATTTCTTGATATTACCATCCTTCTCACAGCAAGCAGGGAATATGCAAAAGGATAGCTCAGCTAGTACTATGACTGTTGGGTTAAAATAAAAGAAGTCCGTACCACCTATAAAGTCACTGTCTGTAAACTGTTCTTTGAAAGCTATTTTGACTTCATATTCTGAAGGCAAAAAGTGTGTGATAAATTAAAAAATATAGTTTCTCAAGGATTAGGTAATAAGTGACTGATAATTTGAAAAATAAAATCAGCAGAGATATTTTGCAATCTCATTTTTATAAAGTGACTCTTATAGAAATGTCTACCAGGAAATGTAATGCTTACTTTCCTCTCAGGGTTACAGAGTAGAATTAATAGACAGTCGATCTACTACCCTATCTGTCTCACTCTGTTTCCTCCATCTCCCATGAATCTCTTCCTAGACAGTGTGTTTATGTACTAAGCTAATTCAAATATTTTCCATGTAGAAAAATGCGGAGACAGAAAACACACAGTTCATCTGTAAAGTGATATCTGCAAGAGCAGACACATTAGATAGAACGAGGCCATTAACTAGAACTCAGCAACTTAGACTGTGCTGTCTCTGCTGCAAGATATGCCTCTGCTGGGAATACGAATGGTTTCCTAAATCATCAGTGACTTGGTTTTCAGTTAGGCACAGCCCTGTGCAGGGAGTACAGTGGAACTGACATCCCCAGAGGGTCAGGAAAATGTCTCAGAGTTATCGATAGGGCTTTTTTTTTTTTTTTGAGGGGGAGTGTGGGTCAGATTCAGAGGCATTATTTAATAATTACCATTTTAGCTGACATGCCACAGATTAACCTGGGATCTGGGATACTTAAAGGGGAAAATTCTCATGTTAAAGCTTTATAACTCATGTATGCCTTCCTTCCATGAATACGGTATAGCAGAGGTTTGAAACAAGCCCTCCTAGAAGGTCTGCACATAATCACATTGCCTTGAGTGGCATCATGTTTTTGCACACAAAACATGCATGAAGCACCCTATCCTCTCCCTGCTTGTCCTTCAGAGTGCCACCTCCTCCAAAGTGCTGATGGAAGAGTGGCAGATACTCTCCCCTTAAACAGGATGGAGGCATACTGCCTCCTAGGCAATGTATGTTTCCTCCTATATGTGGGACTACCATTTGAAAGTTTCYCTGCACCAATTTGGTTTGATCAAACTGAGCCAAATTAAGCCAAAGAGTTACACTGAGAAATAATTTATCCTTGAAGCCAGTTATGAATTAAGAATAGGAATTTATGTGTATCACAGAATCATAGAATGGTTAAGGTTGGAAGGGACCTCTAGAGATCATCTAGTCCAATCTTCCTGCTYCAACAGGGACATATAGAGCATGTGGCACAGGGTGGCATCCAGGTGGGTTTGGAAGAYCTTTAGAGAAGAAGACTCCACAGCCTCTCTGGATAGCCTATTCCAGAGCTCTGTCACYGTCACAGTGAAGAAGCTCTTCCTCATACAGAGATGGAACTTCCTCTGTTTCAGCTTGTACCCATTGGCCTGTGTCTTATCACTGGCCACCATCAAGAAGAGTTTGGTCCTCTCCTTCCTACATTCTCCCCTGAGATATTTGTACATATTGATCAGAACTCCTCTCARYCTTCTCTTCTCTAGGCTAAACAGACCCAGCTCACTTCGTCTTTCCTCATACAAGAGATGCTCCAGTCCCTTAATCATCTTTGTCGCTCTCCACTGGATCCTCTCTAGAAGTTCCTCATCCCTCTGATACTGGGGAGCCCAGAACTGCACCCAATATTCCAAGTGCAGCCTCACCAGAGCTGAGTAGAGGGGCAGGATCMCCTCCCTTCACTTKCTGGCAGCACTCCTCCTGATGTAGCCAGGATCCCATTGGCCTTCTTGGCCACRAGGGCACTGCTGCCTCATGGTTAACTTGGTGTCAACCAGGACTCCCAAATCCCTCTCCGTGGAGCTGCTTTCCAGATGGTCAACCCTTAATCTGTACTGGTGTCTGCGGTTATTCTTCCCCAGGTGCAGAATCCTGCACTTTTCCTTGTGTAGTGGAGAACAGTCTGGGGAAATGTCTGGAATCAAATGCAAAGCAATTTAGACTAGTGAGATAACACAAAAGGGTTTTGTGCAGACAATTTAAGACATCTGCCCGTGGTCCAGACATCTGTGCGCAATGAATGCCATTTTTTGAGCTAGCTCTTTATTTATCATTCAGTGGTGGCCATTAATAATTGCTGCCCTTGTACTACCCTGTCTTTGTCTATATACAGTTATATATGGTTACTTGACAACTATAATAAACAATGAAAGAACTGCTTGTGCTTGAAATGAAAATGTAATCTGTGATCTGGTTCTATTTCAAATACAGATAACAGATTTTACTCTTCCCTCCCATTTTCTCTCTCTTTTTTTTAATCTATATTTAGAGTATATTGCTGCACATTTATAGTCCCCCAATGAGTAGATAAATAAAYGCGTTCCTACCATGCAGACGTGCAGGGATGGGCCAACATAATCCTCATCCTCTTACTACTTTTTACTGATCTTCAGTTTCAATCCTTTTGTGATGCTTAAGACACTAAACCACTTTAACCTATGTCCTAAAGCCAGGCTTCTGCGCTTCAGACATAGGTATTTCTTTTCTTTGGTCACTTTCAGTACAGCTGCAGATTTGTACCGACTGTTTTACTGCTCTATTATCCTATCTTTTCTCTGATTTATGTATAATCTTTGAGTTTTTATAGTATAATTTACTCACCTAGAAAGTAAGGCTTCGATGTTACAAGAA